GGTTCGTGTCAGAGTATAGACGAAGTCTGTCTGTCCTGGTTTGTTCATTTGTGTCCTGACAGACAGCGAGTACGCTGTCGTGTATGGTTAGTGACCAAAGTGTGTATTTGTCGTGTTTCAAACTAACACTCTCACTCTGCTCATACCGTATATGACGATGTATTATCGTTGTCTAGAGGTAAATGTCTATGCTCGTACAAATTTTCCATAATGCGGACGGCAGACAGACGTTGATTTATCTATGTTCGTAAATAGTACCAAACTGTTGGCTCATAGTATATCAACAATAAGCCGAGTGAATTTTGTTCTACGTAAGTTATAGTGCCAGTTATCAAGTAAACTACTATCCAATCATGTGGGGACTGGTCGCTCTACAGATGATGGTAAGTCGGTCAGCTCTCAGCATATTGCTAGTGCATCATAATTGTATGAGTCGTGTTCCTATTTACATAACGGGCCATTCTGGTGCTAGTCTATAATTCCGGTCTTTTTTGTCACTTTTTCGTCTGACTCTGGCCTTGTGGTGTGACACTTTCGGGTCGAATTGGTCCCCTACGACTGTCCATCCTCTACCGTGGTTATATTACTAAAGTGCTATTGTATCTGATGTTGTACTCGGAATTGTTGTCTCTGATTTTTGTTGTTTGTTATATTCTCACCTGTTTAGCTGTATCAGGAATTTCGGGAACACATGTCATGATGTACACCTTTGAAAAACACGGTGTATTTCTCATTGATACGTAGTGGGTGGTACCGATATCCATATGTATTTTTGTCGTGCTTGTCTACTCTGTTGCGTCCCTCCCTACCTCTTATTCAAGTTGACCTATGTCTTGTTGTATATCCGCATCTTTCTTTATATAACCCTCTGCTGTGTGATGAATCCCCTCCCTTCTAACCTAGTTGCTGGACATGTTAGTTCTTGGGTGTGTATTATGCATTTTTACATAATGGTTTTTAAATGATTGTTTACCCTAGTAATAACTCTCTGAACTTGAGTACGGACATAACTTCCCATCTGGAACTTTCATCGCTAACCTTCTGGCATCTGTGTAATTCCCTTTAACGATTCACTCCATTATTTCAATTCATTCATCTCCAGCTAAAGGAAGCTAATCTTAGTCTGGGAAAACGTTGTCAGCAGGTGGGACGAGCTATACTCTCTTAGTCCAAACTCTGCATATTCTTCAGAAACTCTTTTACTTATTTTTATTTTCCTGAAATAACTAGGGTATAACCCTTTACATACCAACGTTTTTGTTGTTTCCCTTTCTGTCCGTATACGTGTATTCATCATTTCTTTCTGATCTTTATTTGGTATGATCTTAATTTGTAGAGTTGACTTAATTTCGTTGTAATTTTTCAACCTTTTCATATGTTACATCGGGCACTTCTATTTGTTAAGATATTGAGACTGGTATTTGTAAATAACTTCCCCTTTACTAGGATGAGCATTGCTAGTAAAAAACTTCTGAAGTTTGTTAGAAAAACATTGATAACCCTAAGTGTGGGACTACATACATGTGAATGACGACGGACAACAAGACACGGGTCACATTACAAATGGAAACAAGGACGAGACCACGTGAGTGGGCTCGTCTTTGAACGTCGAGACACTTGCGAAGTTGTGTTAGACTTTGTTTTGTTGTCCTTCTCCCTGTTCCCCTGTCGTCTCAGGTCACAACGTAATCTTCTCTCATATGTCCATTCGTCTCTGTACGTACCACCCTCCGAATAGACTAACTTACACCTTGCCGTGTTTTACCTTGCATTTGTTCACACTGCAAAGTTTTTGGTTAGGCTGTCGTGGGACTTCCTGCACAATAGGTTTCGTTACACGACTTTTGTCTACCGACCTCCGGTTTCGAATAAAAGACGACGACATAGTTGCTTGTGTTTCGTTGCATAGAGTAGAAGTCGGTTTGAAACGGAATAGTTCAGTTGCTTAGTGATGACCGACAACTCCTGACCACGTCGCCAGTCTCTCCGGGCGCCAAACAAGTCGACTCTAGACGGGAAAATAGATGTCTTTGTCCAAAAGCGAAAGAACGGAAACAAGAGCGACACACTTTTGTTTCGTGACAACAAGTCCAAATTTTCAGTACTGACTAACGTAGAGACTACATTGTGTGCCATCGTTAAGTTTCTACAAGACTGCTTGTCTGCCGTCCAGCTTATTCCCGAAGTAGAGGTACAAAAAGAGCTTAACTCTCTCTCGACCTTTCTCTTTTGTGGAAATTCGTGACTGTACGAAATTTTCGTCCCTACAGCTCTTGAGTTAAAGTAGCGTGTAGTCGGTAATCACCAAGCCGAGTTTCCCGGCCACACTTGAATTTGTGATATAAGTTCTAAATCATATATATCTTAATTTACATAATATATTAATTATCGGAGACGTGTTAATTCCTAATAATAGCCTATCCCATTCATTTGCACAGCATTAATTCGATTCATACTTTCGTGTTCAGATCCACCGTTTACTTAACGTTCAAAGAAGTCACTCTTACAGTCGTTAACTAAAATTTTTCTATTTCGGCTTAAGACCTTTTTTTATGTCCTGTAAAACTCTTCGTTTGACTATGTATAAAACTTCTTTTTTTTCAGTTTAAGATCTTTTTCTGGTTTAAACTCTTCCTTACTTTCATCAAATAGCCCTCGAATAGTCGCGCATATACTGTATGTCATATATAAAGATAAGTTCTTCGACAACACCCGGTCGTATGTTGACTTCAGTGCCTCGGGGCCGATCCGGGGCCAGGAATTCAAACTGTGGGGGACGATCTTCTTGGTATCGGAAGATAAACGTACTGATTCGACCGTATTGTTACTTCATTAGTTGGTACTCAGACTTGGAGTTTGGGGTCCGGCCTAGGTCCCTTTTTGTTGGTGGCTTCTTGTGCTAACGGCGGATGTTGGTTTTTGTGTTTCGCATTGAAGATGACGTCACGGCTCCGCCTAAACTGCGTTACTATAGTTACTGCCCCAGCTACTAAACTGTAATGAAAACGCAGCATAAAGTGAGCCTAACTATACCGTACTAAGCCGTGCGAGGCCCTGCAGTGGAAAAGCGCCATTAGAGAGTGCAATAGTTTGGCGTTTTGTATTCTGTCACTCAGGATACAAAAGCTTGAGAAATGACTGCCTTTCTTTATTTCCTCCACACAGAGAGATTCTCACCCGAGGATTGGCTCGTCAGGATCTCCTAATCCTGGTAAGCAGAACATACAGATGCGCACCTGATCCCACTGACAAGGGCGTTAATTAGAGAGGAAAGGTAGTTTAGTTGCTGTGTTCTCTCTCTCTGGAGGATTGCTGAGGATTAAGCAGATGAACTCTTATTAACACTAAGCAGGGAATCGTCTTCTTTCTTGCTTTTACTGGCTGTGTGTGTATGTGGGACTTTGTGGTGTATGTGTGTCTCCATGCAAACTGAGCATTAAGGCAAGGATTATTTCTTTTTTACAGTACATTTAAAACAACAAGGCAATTCAAAGTGCTTTACAAAAAAAAATGTTTAGACCGTAAGAAATGATTAATATATGATTAGTTATTTGATTTCATAAAAGTCAGCTGCTTTAAAAGGAAAAGGAGAGGGGGAGATCGGTCTCCAACAGACTGTAAGTAACGGTGATAATTGGCCTTTGTTAGCAACGGTCAGAAGCATGACCTCGGGAACAATTCCTGCAATCATAAGATTTAGTCATATTTTACCATTTATACAAAGTAGAAGAATGATTGATTAGATGTCAATGCACCTGTATGCAGCTTCGTCAGACCATAAGATACTAATTGTATATCTTTAAAGAAGTTGTGAAGATGTTGTATTGCACGACAGAATTATGCTTATTTCTTTACATGCTAGTAAAAGTATGAGATTAAAAGCACTTAAGTCGAGTTTGTATCAACACGCAGAGAGACGCTAATCAAATCTTTTTTTAAAGAACGATACTTTTAGAATAGAACATTTCAGTTGGATTGAAGACACTTTGACATACATTCATGTGCTTTTTGCTTGCATTCATTACCATCAATGGTTCCATCCCAGGTAATGCTCCATTAGTTCTAACATCGAGCCGGTCCTGTTGCATGTGATCGATCCCGCAGGAGGCACGAGCGTCTGCAGCAGCAGCAGTTTAAGTTAATTTCCTGTAGCAGTTGTTATTCCCCTCCTAACAGCTGGAGTCCTGTCAGACACACCTGAGCTCTCCTCTGGCCAATCAGCAGCTCGTGCAGGGGGTCAGGAAGACGAGGGGAGAGAAAATGAGGAGGGAAAGAACCAGAAAGAACCAGAAAGTGCGAGAAAGAACGAAGACGTCTGCATATATATAAAAAAACAGGCTTCAGTCAGGCTTCTTCTCACGTCAACGAAGGCATCGCTTTTGCAATAACACCTACTCCTATTGCGCCGTGCACTATTTAACCTCACCTGGCTTTTTGGATTATCACAAAGCTCCTCCTGCAAAGTTTGCAACCTTCACAATGGAGCCAGAGGTTTCTAAAGTCGCTGTCCAAACCACGGTTAGCTCCAGGATTTCTAAATCACTCTCCTCCTCATCGTGGGGTCTGTCGAGACACGTCGGCGTTCCAGTGTGGATGCACCGCGACCTGATCGCCTGCCGATTCCTCCGCCCCCTGCCTCGATCTCTGCAGAAAAAAAAATACTGGGTTCGACTCGGACGGGAGTCAAACAAACACCGGGCCTCCTCTTCGTCCTCTTCGTCCTCTCCTCCTCTCCGCTGGTCATCCTCACAGTTCTCCCTCCCTTCGACTACTTTCTCCACTCCTTCCTCCGACGTTTCCTCTTGTTTCCTCCGCTCACCGGTGTCTCGTTTCCTCCCCCCAGCGCTCAAGCACCGGGACAGAGAGCTAACGGGCCTGGATGGCCACCCGGGTTCTCTCGGCACCCTAGGCATGACCATCAGTCCGTGGGGAAACAGCACTCACACCCACAGCTCCACAGCAGCATCCAACGCTAGCCTCAGTCACAACAACAGCTCAGGGTGAGTACCTCCGTCACTGAGGTTCTTTTAGGGCGCAGACAATCTGTTTCTTTTCTACAAAGATTGCAGCAAGGTGGACTATTTTCTACTATGTAATAAAGGGAGGGGAAGTACTAAGACAACATTATGAGGACAGGTCTTTTGAGACCCCTTGATAAATCACCGTTTTGCAATCAACTATATTAAAATCAAAGTATTATTATTGGCTTTACTTTTTAATAAAATCCCCCTTATCATTATAAATATGAATTATAATTTAATTCAAATTTCTTTTTTTTAAATATCATTTTCTATGTATATATATTTGTGGGGTTTTTTTCGTACAATTTTATTTCTTTTTTTCATTTAAAAGCCTAAATAATAATGATTTTCTATATTTTTTTTTTCTAATTTATTTGTTTCTCCGCTCGGATTTTCATTCGTAAAAACAAAAAACGACACATTATGAATCTTAGTTTTTTTAAACTTACACTGACTCTCAAATGAGTATTGTGTTTTTAGAGTAAAGTACATGAATGGGCAAACAAAGTGAATAAATAGTAAATAATAATCAATTTTTTTAAAACACCTGAATGACAGGACTCCTCGTCACCTAGAGTTCAAAATACTAAGCGAAAATGAGCCCTTTTTATTTGTGCAGATGTTTACAGAACCTGCTGTTAATGCTCAACATTTTTAGAAGCTTTGATGCTGAGATATTATTTTCTCTATGCTGTCTAAAGAAGATGTGTATTTTTAGTTTTGTAAGCTGTCTTTTTCCGATAAAGCAATCTATGAAGTGGACTCGATTTCTGCTGCATCTGTTAGAAATGTGTTAGAAGGGACAATGATGTTAGAGGGAAAGAGACAGAGGAAGGTGTAAACAAGAGCAGAAGACAGAGAGTCATAGATAAAGACAAATGTAGCTGCATGAATGTCTCACCTGTTGGATTTACTTAGCTAGTAGGATCACTAGTAGTCTCAGCTTGTATGCCACCTTAGACCTGTGGTTGTCCTCCCTCAGATCCCTCCCCGGGGAGATGGATGAGACGGATGCTCTCCGCTCCAAACGCTGCAACGAAGACGCCATTTCCCTCGCTCCCTCCACCACCGAGTCCATCATCGTCGAAGGTGAGTTTCACTTACCGACGAGGGGGATTGAACCCTTGGTTGAAATGGTTACCTGGTGGGACATTAAGGCTGTCCTGGATTAAAGACATTCTCGCTGTGTGTAGGGTTGTTGTTCTGTATGGATGTTTGTTTTATGCCTGTGTGAAACTATCTTAAGGTACGTAGAAAAGCCCTGTATACAATTACATTACATGACATGTTAGATGCTTTTATCCAAAGCAACTTACATACTCAATACTGTGGACAATCCCCACAGGAGCAATTTGGGGTGAAGTGTCTCAGGGACACAACGACATGCTGACTGCAGTGGGGTTTGAACCAATGCACAACCCACTGCACCACACGCCCCCACATGTATTATTTTGCTGGCAAATTGGCTTAATTGACAAATCTGTTTCTTCAGAAATAGCTATCATGTAAAAGGGTTAGGGTTAGGACCGCATTAAAGGTTGTGTTTATCAGAGATTTGTTTATACATTTCCTGGAAACAATCCCTCAGCCTGAAAGATTATGAATTCACCTAAAATGTCTTAGTAGACTGAGATAAAAACAACTGATTAGTTTGAATCTTAACCCAATGCCAAACTAAGACAACTTTGTAGATTACACGCAAGCATGAACACATCACCCCAATTCTGTCTTCCTGTCTATTTTAGAGTTCATTTTAAGATTTGATTGTTTGTTTTTAAATCGCTTAATGGGCTGGCCCCTCAGTACATATCCGACCTCCTAAAGGTGTACACCCCCTCAAGGGCTTTGCGGTCGGCTGATCAGCTGCGGCTGGTAGTCCCTAAAACCAAGAAAAAGACCAGTGGAGACCGAGCCTTCTCAGCGGTAGCCCCCCAGGCTCTGTAACGACCTGCCCCCCCCCATGTCAAATTGTCGCCCACCCTCCAAACTTTTAAGTCCCGCCTAAAGACCCACCTCTTTTCCCTCGCTTTCGAGTCAGTTTGAGCTATGTATGTTTTATCGATTGTTATGCTTTTATTGTCTGTTCATAGCCTTTGTGTACCTCAGTGTTGCCCCGCCAACGGAGCCCCGCGCCCCCCCTGAAATTCAAGGTGTTTAAAAAAAATAATAATTATAATTTTTTATTTTTTTACCATAGTCGAAGGCCAGCACGAGGAGACAAGGGTCGGACTCAATGCAGTCTGCATCTCTGGACTACTTTTATTCAGAGAAAAACGTGTAGTCCCGGTATTTTTTTGTTTGTAAGTGTATGGTCTTGTTGTTGGGATGTGTGTCCGCTCTCTACGTAGAAATTAGTCCTGCTCGGACAGATATATTGATCACATGTTTAGGTCCCTATTCACAGAGGGTAAAGTCAGATTGTTCCCCAAGTTAGGGGAGCAGCCCATTCACTTTGATGTTGTGTATTCATGCTTTGCTGTACTACCTGAGCCCACACGTGACTACCTTCACTCGGTCTTAGCACACGTCCCCACTCCGTCTTAAAACACATCGCCCAGACAGGCAAGACAACTGTAGAATCGTAGCGGTCACCCGGACGGAGTATGTTCGCGTCTTAAGTATGTACTTCCATCGCTCCGCTACTCTCTTATTCTTGATGATCACTCGTCCCAACTCTTTCACCACCCTTTCCACTCGAGGGAGAGTCTCTTGTATCTTACGTGCTCGGTGGCTCTCGAGGGGGTGAGACTGTCTGGTTCCAATAATGTCGGTCGATAAAAATCAGGAGTAATTAATAACAAACGATTATTACGTCCCCCATGCACAGTTAACGGTAAAGTTTCTCCCAGGTCTATCTCTTGCTACAGTACTTTTACGAGCAAACGCGATGAAAAAGAAAAAAACTAACGCGCAGAGTCCGGCAGTGGAGGATTTGTGAGATATGTTGTTGATGGGAAAAAAGATTTGGAGAAATAGAAATACCAAATTTGTACAACTCCAATTCCTACCGTCGAAGGAGTATGCAACGTGGAGCCTCTCTTTCATCAACTCTTGCCTCTATAGAAATCGTCGTTCCCTCCTCATTTACTGCCGGCCTCAAATGTACCAGGAGTATGACAGTAATCGATTCGTGGTGCAACGTCTATTGTGTGACACCGTCACTACAGTAGGTCCTGCCAGGTACTTTTAGGATTCGAAGTTTATTAGTAGACAGGGTATGAAGAGGGCAAAAGACTGTCTGGACAGAGGAGAGAGGAAATCCATTGAAGTGATTTTTAGGCTAGGTATAAAACGGCGGAGCGTAAGGTAACTGACTTCAAATTGATCGAGCTAAAGTGACAAAGAGAAATAAAAAAAAGACCGCGACGCGGAGGGAACTTCGAGAGACCGCGGGGGGTCCCTCCGCGTGGAGATGTGAAACCCTTGGGGACGAGTCACCTTGTTTACAAATACTATGGCTCTACAAATAACGTCAGTGACTAAGTGCAGTGGTCGCCGATTCGATTTTCGCCGATTACAACCCGCACTACTTCAAATCCAGCAGGGTAAAATCTGTTAACAATCGTTGGCGACAAACGGACCCTATAGGATGTATGTTAGACTGACACATAAAATGCCAAAGTCTTGTCCTTCTTGTTTCGATTTATCGTGAAGATAAGTCGAACACCTAATTGAGTGTCTGGAAGTCTCCAGTCCCCTTCATGTATTTTTGGTTTTATTATGTTAATTTTTACGACTGAGGTATTCGGCTACTCTAATCCGAGTCCAAGGATGTCGGTGTTGTACCAAAGAACAATGACTATCTACCACACCTTTTTTTAGTTCAAATATCCACTCTGACAGGATACTCTAGGTCGTGGAAAGTCAACAACACTCCTATTATCTGGAGGTTTGATCATTGCCTGTAACCCATGCAACGTTACTACGCACGCAGGAGAGGTGTCCTACGCACCGCTAGAAGCACTGCCTCTTCGGATCATACGAGGCGCTGTTACCTCGTACCCAACAACAAACTAAGTACAGAGGACCTCTTACATCTTTTCGATGTTAGAATAAGTCTCCCTCGATAAGATCCATCTTTTCAGGGCCTAAATATATTGTTTAGAAATAGATCGTGATTGTCATAAATGATTTTCCACAGTGAACCTAAAAGTGTAGAGTAATAGAAGCGATATATAATTAAGAGTCTTGAGGTATAGAAAACAAATACGCTCATAAACGTGAGTTAGATACGAAGCGCGACAACTACATGTTGTACGGGGAGTGTCTCGTTCGCGGTTGCACAAACAACCCACCCTCAGCTTCACAGGGACGTTCTCCGTGTGTATGTCTGTCGAACAGGACATGTGAACGCGGTAGCACGGCGCGAAGAGTGGCTTGGAGATCGGTACGTCTGGGACGCTGTTACGTTGTCCTGTTTTGGATGACTGTGGTTGTGTACAAATTCGACTTATATATAATACAGTAAGATCTCGTGTTATCTCAATCTGGAAATTGTTGTAACGTCAAACTCGCTCGATATTAGGAGTGAATAGAAAAGTCTTTATTCGATCTGTGAAGATAATCTTTTCAGTCGATTTACAATTCATACACTCGAGCAGTGTACTATGTTCCACGTCAGATCCCAATCCTGGAGGAGGATTGGACACAACTAGTACTACAGCCGGTGCGACCAACTCTCATCAAGCGAGTAGCAACCCCTGCTCTCACTCCCAAGAGCGTACGCTGTTCCAACACAAATAGTCTCCGTAAGAAAACTCAGTCACAATGTCTCTTCAGCTCACACATTATACAGAGCTCTCTTCCGTTAAGGAGGAGTCGGCCTCCGCGCTGATGCTCTGCTCTAAGGTTCTGTTAAGGAAGTCGTGTCATGTTTAGAACGTGCAAAGTGCGAATACATGTGAGAGCGCGCTCTATCCTGTCTATTTGGTGACCTGTCGTGTTAAAACTAGTAGTAGACATGCGGGGTTTGTATACCGTGAGTTTGATGTGTGACGTATATGTGCAGAGCGTACGAGTCTTGTAGAATATTACAGTATAGCGTTCGGTACTTTGTGGTAGTGGGGTTAAGACAGGAAGGACAAGAAAAAAATCTCTAAGTATAGCAAATAAAAATATCTAAGACATCGGACCCAACACAAATACGAAATTAGCGGACAGTAATGGAGTTCACGGAGCCCGATGGAGTCATGTAGACGGCTGGTGAGGATTTGGGTGTCTCCAGTCGTCGCGGGTGCATATATTCGAAGACGACCTGCAGCCCCTGGGACTACCGATGACACAGACACCAGGACCATCAGGATTTTAGGTGCTCTTTAACTGATGTCCCCTACTGGCGTCTCTCGGACAGAACGCGCGCATCACTACGGTGCGTAATGTCGCTCGCGCGACTGATCACTGTTGGATGACAGAGGCCCAAGCGTGTGCACACATCGCTTCACATGGCTTGCTTATATTTGCATTTGCATTTTTAGACTCTTGCACTTGTTGAAAAACCTTCATTAAAATAATATAAAACATAAATAAACTCACTTATAATGTCAAATTAATTATTATTTTTGGGTTTGATTATCATATACAAAAAACACTCATGATCATGTCATTAAGAGTTTATTGTCTAATAAAGTCAAGTAGTTTTACGACGTGGCAAAATTTACCACTAGGAGACCAGGAGTATCTAGAGCCGGAGGAATGCCCAACAAATCAAAAAACTAAACAACTTTTTCACAGGGGAAAGGGGTACAGGACAGCAACTAACACCACGTGGACCACGGAACCACAACAGAGGGAGGGGAGTGGACACAGGACAACCCAACCCGTAAATCCGAGACCCCAAACGACAATCTCTCCCTCACACACTCTCTAGGAACACCGAACGTCCGACACAAAGTCCCTGTTTGTCGTCCTAACTCCGACACACAGATAGTACACAGCATACTAAATTATTTACGGGGGTGGCCCAACATAAAACCTGCAAGACGGGGAGGAACGAACCAACCCTTGTTGTTGTTTTTATGTCCGTGTGGGGTGTGTGAAGTGTCACTTTTAGACTTCACTGCGAGATGATACGCGTATTTTATAGAATAGTAAAGTAG